AGGGGGGGAGAACTTGAAAATAATTAATGGTGGCTGAGTGTACATCACTCTATCGATAAGGTGGAACGTTACACAACCCAAAATATATCGTGATTTATTCAATTAATATTTATCATGTCCACTTTTTTTTTCGGAATTTTATTATTTGTTAATCCAACTTTTCTATTGCGAGAAATAAGTATAAACGATATTCAAATTAATAAAGATACCCTTTAAGGGCAAAAATAATAATATAAAGAGGAGTCGGGATGCTTTGCTCCACTTTCTTTTTATGTTCGCTTTTCATTTCTCATGGCACCCTTTTGCCTCTTTCTTATAATATATATACATATATATATATATATATATATGAAAGGTTGTGATAAGTTATAATTCGAAAAGATATAATTAGTTAAATTACATTTCTTGAATTAAATAATTTTTGTTGAGATGTTATGTTACTATATCATCAATTATGCACCGATAACCCGTAAAATGCTATTCTCACGTATTTATGTAGGGGATAGAGAGTATTCTTAGTAATTATATCTACATATATCAGTTTGTAAATTAATATACATACAATAGTTTTATTTGGATAAATAGTAAACATATCCTATATTTTTCGTCCCTTGCGGCCCCAATCATTCACTTTTCACGTTTCCGAAAACTTTATAAAAAAACTATATTGTCTTTTATTCTAAATATATATTACTATGTTTCTAAGTGCTAATATTATTAATATCTCTAATATTTTCTTAAATCCGGGGTATTCATGAAAATGTTTAAACATAATTTTTAATTATATATATATATATGCATCATCTTAGTTTGGCAGAGTTTACAGCATCAATTATATTATATTATTTATATATATTGATAATATATATATATATATATATATATATGAACATTGAGCAGAACAGCACCAAATTCAACCTTTTTTCCTCTTTCAACACGTGATTTTTCTTTGGTATTATTATCTTATTCGTATGTTTCTCCCCAAAAGAAGGAAACTTCCTATAAATCTGCCCATTTGCTTCGAAGTATTGAACAATTAACTCGCTATAAAAAAAAATCTTAAAATAATAAATTTACATTTTTTCACCATTGCTTTGCATTTAGAATATAAATTTTATTTTAAAAAATATAATTATTTATTTAGTCTAAAATTTGTCATTTATTTTAGATACATGGAATTTTTAGAATTATATTTTATAATTCAAAACTTCAAAAATAATAAAAGTTTTGAATAATGTTCTCTTTACATATATCTATCATTTCTATATATATGTAATACAAAATTTATGTATGAATAACCTGCATGATTAGTGTTTGGTAAGCAATAACTATCCTTCTTCCGACGTTGCTTGCAAACAAGGATCATGTAAGATGTACTTTAATGGCAACCCTATCGACATTGTCTTTTTTTTTTTTTAATTAACTGGACTCGATCAATCATTTTTTGTTATATTATTCAACCGATTGATTGCGTTATTACAATCATGCAACACAACCGATTGATTTGATAATCGAATAACTTTATAATATGCATTTGTCAATACAAATAATTTGATATCTGTTCTTCATATACATATTGATTTGTCATAATATACGTGTGTAATATGTATAGTCAATAATACATTGTTTGCGAAATTAAATAAAAAAAATACTATTTATTTCAAATTTAAGAACATCCGATGTGATGTGACTTGCTATTTTATACTATTCTTTATTTTCTAAATATTACGACTTTGAACTATATTTGTCAAATCCAAATTTTAGGGATGTGTGTGTATATTCGTACGAAATAGAAAATTTATAAATCTTAAAATTCAATTGAAAACTTGTAAATCAAATTAATTAACTCGGTTGTTTTGTTTGAATTGAATTTTGTATGTATCTATTATTATTATTATTATTATTATTATTATTATAAGAACGACGAGACATTGTTCAATTCTCTGACAAGAATTCCCTTCCGTGTCATTATAATCTACGTTATTTCCGCTAATTAATAATTAATTAACGTTCTTAATCTCCGCATACATTATTAGTAATATATAAACCCGTATTTATCGATGTAAATCACATCATTTCTCCCGTCAACACCTCTCCCTCCCCCCCCTCTCTCTCTTCAAATTATCAGAAACCGTAACGATGGAACTGAACGGCGATCAGCCGCCGCTGGTGTGGTCACAATTTGAATCCGCCGAATATCGCCGCCGGAGATCGCCGGCTTCGGCGTTTTTCAGTCCGTCGGCGATCATTCTGACTTATACGATTGCTTTTCTTCTGATTTCAATCTTTATCCTTCCTCCTTTTCTCTCCATCACGTCTCAGATTCTCCGGCCAGTCTCCGTGATGAAGAGCTGGGACTCCATCAACGTATTCTTAGTCCTATTCGCGATTCTCTGCGGCGTTTTGGCCAGACAGAATGGCGACGGATCGCCGTCGTCGTTGCACGGCGGAGACGAGAGAGCTGTTACCGACGATTCGATGAACGCGGGCGAGGATGACAAAATCTCATCGCCGGTATCGGAACGGTGGTTTAGTGACGTGCACGCTGGTCATAGGCTGAAGATTCACGAGAGCGTGAGCAGCTCTGCTCCTTCGCCGGTCACCGGAACTGTACGGTTACGGCGGAGCAGTAGCTCGTATCCTGATCTGCGGCAAGGCTTTTTTGGTGACACTGTCGAACAACATTTCAGATTTTACGATGATTTTGAAATCAATAAGTACCGTTCGCCGGTGATCGCTAATTCGGACGGTTACGAATGGATTCAAAATCGCCGGAAAATTCAAATCGAGAAATCGGAACCCAAAGAAATCCCAGTGGATAAGTTTGAGGTGAGGCCTCCTACTCCACCGCGGGAACCACCGGCGCCTCGGCCTCCACAGCCACTGTCGGCTGAGGTTGTGCAGAAACCGAGAAGGGGGCATCGTTCGGTTAGAAGCCGAGCGACGCCGGAAAATGTGAGGCGCCGTGACACTGATTCCAATTCTACCAAATCTGAACAAGGGCCTCCACCGGCGCCGCCACCACCACCTCCACCGGCGCCTCCGCATCCTCCATTTACGCCTCCGAGGACGGCGTTGAGGAACGAAGCGGAGAGAAAGCAGGGGAAACTTGATCGAAGAAAGAGTAATGCAGCGAAAGAGATCAAAATGGTTTTAGCTTCTCTATATAACCAGAGGAAGAGGAAACTACAGAAAGCGAAGACCAAAAGAAACGAATATCCGGTGACGGAACCGCCGCATTACCAATCCAAGATTCCACCTCCGTCGCCGCCACCCCCTCCGCCGCCGCCGCCGCCGCGATCGTCACAGTCAGTGTTTTACGGATTATTCAGGAAGGGAAGTAAGAGTAAAAAGATTCACTCCGTTCCCGCGCCGCCTCCGCAACTACCACCTCCGTCATCGAGAACCTCCAAGAGAAAGATCCAATTGGATAGGCATTCACATCCTCCTCCTCCTCCACCTCCCGCTCCTCCGATGTCTCCACGACGGAGATCCGGCAAACCTCCGCGTCCAATCAAACCGACGAACTTCTACGAAGATAATTACGCCAACAGTGGCCGGGAATCTCCGTTGATACCAATTCCTCCACCCCCTCCCCCGCCGTTCAGGGTTCCACCGCTGAAGTTCGTGGTCCGTGGCGATTTTGCGAAGATACAGAGCAACCAGAGCTCGAGATGTAGCTCACCTGAGCGGGGGGAGGTGATCGATCTCGGATGGGGCCTTGAACTCACACAATCTGAAGGAGGCGATCGAATCGGACGGAGTGAAAATTCCGGTGGCCGGAGTTTCTGCCAAAGCCCCGACGTCAACACCAAAGCGGACAGCTTCATCGCCAGGCTCAGAGGCGAGTGGAGGCTCGAGAGTGTCCACCCCGTGGAGGAGAAGGAAACTGGGCTCCGGCCCAAGCCCAATATGAGACCCATTTAAAAAACGGCACGCAGTTCGCATCACACGGAGAGGTACGACAAGAGATTCGAGCATGTTCTTGTTCTGGTAAAAATCCATAGGATTCCAATTGTTTATTCATCGATGGTCTAACACAAACGCAGGTTTTCAACGTGAACGTACGGATAGTATCCGTGCAGATTTAGCAAAGCGTCGAGCACTAATCAGTCGGTACATTTTTTTTTACGGTTTAACCACTGAAGATCACAACTATCTTGTGTGTGTATTAAGATTTCTGAGGCTTAGGGGCAGAGTGAGTTGGCATCATGATGTATGTATCTACGTATTGATATATGTATGTCCTTAGTGATGTCGATGTGGATATAAGAGACGTGGTCTCTGACATTCTTTTGGAACTTTCTCTCATTGTACTGCAAATAGTGTTCCATTTTTTTTTTGTCTTTTCCTTGACTTCGAGATGTTTTTACTTACGTGTTTGTGTAGAGGATTTTGTTTGTTTAATGATTATTAATTTTCTTTTGTTTACTCTAAAAATTATAGAATAATATGTTTCCGGATATTTTCCTTTTAAATTCTGATTAATTTTGTTTGTATAATCATTATTCATTTTCTTTTGTTTACTCTTTTTTCTAATTTTTTTGGTCCGTTTTTCATATGTATTGATAACTCCAAATATTTTTCCAAGAACGATCAGTCTTTTCTTTTAAAATTTCTTGGTTTGTGTAACTAAGACTAAGAATGTTATGGTTTGGAGTTTCACTATTTTAATTATCTTCCTTAATTTTATAGATAAAGAAAATGGTTTATTTCCCATTAATTTTTTATCTGTCGCAAGTTTTCCGTTTTGTTTGTTTTAGTTTCGAATTTTTATTTGATAAATGATTTATTTAGTATTTGGTAAAAGGTTCATGGGCTTGGTAAAAAAATTTCCCCCGAGGGGTGTAAGAAGCCCACTTGGTCTTCTCTTTAAAATGGCTCACGCGCTCTTTTCTCAGAATTCTAAAAAAACGCTGATTTCGGTGGGATTCACGCGCTTCACCTGCGCGTACGATTTATTTACCTTATTTATGACCTTTTTTTTTACAACGTCCACGTTTTTTTGCAGCATTACTGCAAGTCTGTAAGGACATTTTTCCTCATTAAATTTGTTTTTACTGTACAATTATTGGGCTTTATTTAAGTGTGTGTGTATACATATGTTTACCGTAAGGATATGTTTTCTATTTTTAATGTAAATTAGAACCCATCAAAATACGTCTTTCTATTACGATATATCCTTTTGCCAATCCACCTGACTTTATATGGATAATACTCTCAAATTTAAAATTCCAAGCACCATTGAGTAAGCATATATGCCTTCAGCCGTGTATAATTTGTCTCACCGTATCTTTCATTATTTGAATTTAAAAAAAAAACTGTCTACACCACATTTCATGACACATGGATCAAGCCATACAGCAACACAAGCTTCGCTGCAACCATTGAGGAACTAATAATAAACAAGGTCAAGGCTTTGTACAGTAATGGTGGGGAGGTGCGTGTTCATATATCTGTTTGCTATACAGGAGGGATATTGGAAAAGGAGAAACCTTTATATCCCTTGTACGCGAAATAAGCTATCCGGGTGTAGTAGAAGCCTGGTATAAACAAAATGCAGCCAAGGATCGTGAAGAAAAGCCCTGGTTTCACCACATGGACAACGAACTGGTTAGAATCACAACCACCGACACCGTAATGAGAAATCAGCTCATTCCGGGGGAAAAATATTTGACCGCTTGCATCAGTCACCAGATAATGCTGCATTGCGAATCTTCCCGGTTTTCTATTTTCTTATGCTAGCATCAATTTTTATGGCCAGGTCTCTACATTCACACTCTTGAATGGGCTCCAATTAACAACGAACTAAGTGATTTGAGATAAAACATTTATGCAACAGGTCATTCAATCATTCATGAAATTGGGGGAAACCCTCAAATTTCCTTTTTCAGGCAACAATATTCAATGATATTTTCATACGAGATCGGAAACCAGGATCAATAAATACTAATTAACTTTCTGTCGATTTCTAACCAGCCAAACAGAAACCGACAAACCAACCAACCATAGAATCGCCACAGAAAAAATCGCAAGTTCAGATTTCTTCATACTTTTTTTTCTCAACAACCAAGAAGAAAATCAAACAGAAACGAGCAGCTAAGAAGAAAGCTAAAATCATCGAACAACGTACCGTGGGCGCGATCGCCACCGACTTTGTTGTAAGCCATGAGAACACCGGAGACGATGCCTAGGGTTCCGAACACGAGAAGCGCGACGGCGAGGGAGATCTCCTTGATCGGCGGTCGATTGTTGACGGTGTAAGACGTCCCCACCATGATGTCTTCGTCAGAAATGGAGAACGCGTGATCCACATACGCCATGGGAGCAGGGATTGAACACGCGATCAATGGCGTGATTTCTAGGGTTTCAAATGTTTTTGCTCACAGAGAAATTGAAGACTTTGGAGTTTGGACGAAGAATGAGACAACTGCGTGAGAGAGCGGTGAGGTCGTTGGACTATAATGTAAAGATGTCTTTGAAATTACGCTAGAGGCTGATTACAAGCGTGCCGTTTTCCGGTTTGAGAAACAGAAAGGGTGCCGCTTTATTGATGCGAGAGAAAACGTGGCGCTGTTTTGGGCTTTCCTGAAATATGGGTTTTTAACACTTCCAATGGGCCCGAATTGTCATGTGTAATATAGTTTCCAACGTTTAAACATATGTGGTGACCCACGAAATATTGAATGCCTGATAAATTTGTATGTAACATGATATCTCAAAACTAACAATCAATCAATATATATATAGATACATCGGTCCACATCTTCGACCTTAAAGAAATATTAAGGATTATTAAGACGAAAGGATAACAACTATAGCGAATCTCTTCAAATACACATGCATTTCACCCAAAAAAAAAAAAAAAATACCAAAAACCCATACAAGAGATAGAATAGAAAGGGTCAAAGGGCTTATGATTTAGTACTTGTAGGAGGATTGAGCCAAAAATCCCACGAAAATGGTCTAGCAAAAGAAAAAAAGGTTGGGGAGAGAGAGAGAGAGTACCTGTGGCTGAGAAGGAGAGAATGGTAATGTGTGTATGATTATTAAGTTGGATGGTAACATGAGCTACTTACTTACCTTTTTGCTTGAGGGTGATCTTGTCGCCAAGGCTAAGGGCAATCCCTTGGGTCTTGCTCCTTATCCGGATGTAACCACTCAGCTTTCCGTCCGTTTGTTTCTCCACACTCATGTTTACCAGAGCGTCCTCTCCAAACACGCTCTTCGCGTACAAGTTTGCTGCTAGGAACCCGCACTCTCCTTCCAATGCCGATCTGTTTTATGCCCATAAAAACCGAAACATAAATCACCGAGCATGCTCAAAGAAAGGGAGAGATGTTAGAAAGTGGCTTACGTTGCAGTGAGGCATTTCATGTTTGTTGATCTAATAATGTGATCAAGGAACTCTTTCTCGTCATCAATTGTTGTGTTTACAGCCACCTGCCATAATAAACCACAACAACAAGTTAATGCAAGATATATGTTCCACTTACACCACAAGAACTAGGGTTACTAGCTTTGCTTTTTTGTCATAAACAGATCTAACGAGAGCAACAGGCAAAAAATAGTTTCTACTAGAGCACTAATAAAGTTCAGTTGGTTACAGTTTTATGTGCTTTCATAAAACAGGTCAAAGGAACTTGGTAAATCTTATAAAACAGGATTTTTTACACACACACATATATCATATTTCAGCAGAAGCCAAAAAGCTCATAGGTAAAATCAGAAGATATCAAGCAAGGAGTTCATCGCATCCAATCGAGGCCTAACAAAGTTAAGAAGGAGAGGCGGAACGATTACCTTGTTTTCCCATTCAAACTCTGCCCACATGGTCCTGAAAGCAGCATCGGAACAAGCAGCAGGAGAGATATAGTCCATGATATCAATGTGAATATCGCTAAGGACCACAACCGTCCGCTCCATGACATTTGAAGTCTCGTATACAATGTTCCCAAATATGACCCCTGTCTCAGTTGACGACACCTTGATGTTTGCTTTTATCTGCTTACTCTTTTCGGGTGCCAGAGTGTAATTCTGAGGACGCTCCACTAGCTTCAAGTCACCCATGGTGGCCAACTCCAAGCACAAATTCTGGAGGGTTTCTTTGGTTCGGTTGATAACCGTCACATCAAGGACGATATCATAGTGATGGACTGTCACATATGCTTCAGCATACACTGGGTCGCTGAACCCTGTGAGTTGAAGGATTCGGTTGAGTTTGTTTGCATCATTCTCATCCCTAGTGAACTCTCCTGTTGCACGTTTTAAATCGTCTTGCACCTGGTCTTCCAATTCAAGTTGACTCATACCCTGAAAAATACTTATCGTAAGTATGTTTAATCGATATTCCGAAAGAATCACATATCTAATAGCGATATAGAGATCTGTATTGGCAACCAAAAAAAAAAAGGTGAAGCAGAGGGAAATTGCAGAAAATTGTTGTAATCTCAGATCGACCAAGTAGAGAATTAGTTGAGATCTTATAAGCCGATGAGAACTCTTAAAGGGACTGAGGACCAATGAAGGAGTAATTGGTCTGTCTCTAATATGGATGGGTTGTTATCCATTTGTGGATCTTTCGCTCTAGTGTGCAGAGCAGTAAATATAAAAGGTGAGCAATAACGGGGTGTTGTTACCTTCCGGCTTTTCAGATGAAAGAAGTCAATGAGATCATCAGGTTGAGCATGAGATATTTGGGACTTTGCCTTAAGTTCCTCCAATTCTTGTTGCTGTTTCTCAGAGAGCATTTTGACAAAGCTCTGGCGGCAGGACTCGAGCCATATCTTCTTCACTTCATCATCCCTATGGCATAGCAATTTTATGCATAACACAATCCTCTCATAAGAGTCATTGTCAATTGGGTTCGGAACAGCAGGAGACTGCCCTAATTGAAGCATAGAGACCATGATCAGCAAAGCTTGTGTTGTCGCCTTGTTCACTTCAGTTTTGGATGGCTGCACCTCCTCCAACCTAAGAACAAGCTTTGTCAGTGTGCAAGCAACCACAGCTCCCAGGAAAAAGTCCCCGCTTAAGATAAGAGGTCTCAAGTTTCCAGAAGCAGATGATCCATGGACAACGGAAGGGAGGGAAACGGTTTCAGAGGCAGCACTTTGGGTAGCATAAGTTCCATCAGCAAGAATGGCAGGTCTTCGAGAGGAAACTGCAGCTGCAGGGTTCTGATGACTCTTGTTTGAGGAGTCGGTAGATTCTGCTTCCTCAGAGACAGAGTAAAATGGCATATCACCTAGGCACTGCTTTATGGTCGTTATGCTGCTCTCAACTTCAGAAAGTGATAAGCAATACTCCCCGATAATCCAAAGTGCACAGGGGAAGACCTTTGCACCACGAATCTGATAGAACGTGTCCAACAACCGGGTGATGATCGAAACTCTTAATTTGGGATTTGTTTCTATTATCTCTCTAACAAAAACAGCCACGTCAAGGGCTGAAGCCACATTGCTGTCCCCCAAGAAATCCATCAAAAGATGGACCACCGTGCTTGCAACTTCAGGGAACTTCACTGCACAAGCATGAATGGCTTGAATAAGCATCTGTCTATATTCTCCGTTCTTCTCAAGCTCTCCGCTTTGTGTCTTCATAACTTCTTTCTTCAGAGTTTGAACTACCTCATTGACATTCCGAGGGGTAACCAGTTCAAGAACAATATCAAGTGTCTTCCTGCGGATGTCGAGATTAGGACTAGAGAGTGCTCTGAGTACATCCATGACCAACTCAACCATGATATCCCTGTGGGATGACTTGAGCTCATTCAACCTATCAAGCACGATAAGCTTCACATTGTTGTCACTCTGGGAAAGAAGAAGTTGGCAGTAGGTGTTGGCGGCAGCTCTGATAGCAGTAGGGGCAGACGACAGAGAAACAAGTGTCCCAGCACATTCATAAATAACTGCAGCTGAAGGGGCAATTAACAGAGCAATGATGATCTTAATATACTTCCCCTTTTCTGCTGGATTATTCCTACACACCTTTCGGATCAACTCCAGAACCACCATCTGGAGCATTTCATTCCACTCAGAAACCTTGTCAACATTAGTCAGAAGATAATTAACCGCCCGGTCTTGAGCACAATTGAAGAGCATAAGGAATATGTTCCGCTTGGCCGAGGGATCTTGTTCCGTTGCCAGAACTTTCTCAACCATTTCAGGTGCATCTACCAGGAGCTGTTCACCTTGAGGGAGCTTATATATTGACATAATAGCCAGAATTGCATTCCTACGAACAAATGGATGGCGATGCTCCAGATTTTGTAATACAGATGGAATCAACGGCTCTATTATTTCTGTCTCATTCAACCGGCAGAGGAACCTCAACGTTACTCCACGGATGTACTCGTTTGGATGCTGAAGGTTGTTCCTCAGGTTCTGACATATCAAAATCATTTCAGGCAGCACCTTCCCTTTAGCATCAGTTTTATCGATTATCTCCAGGTACAGCAGCAGCAGCTTCTGGATCGTGTGGTCCTCGGAAGGTAACACATATCTGATAATAGTGATGAAAAGCTGAGGCAGGGTTTCACCATTCAGCAAAAGCATGACCGCCTTCTTCATGGCGTCGATCTTTGCAGGTAGATCACTCCCTTCGAGGGCTTCTTTGATCTCATTTGCAACTGCTGGAGCGCCTTTTTCATAGTGAATGAGCAAAGTACACGATTTCTCCTTACTCGCTTTCTCCATCTTTTCCTGTTTTGCGCAAAAGATGAAGGAACACCCAAATAAAGAATCGATCGAATCAAATAAAAAACCCAAATAATGCGAAGTAAAAAGAAGCCAAACAACACATCAAAGTAAAGAGTAACAAAACCAAAATTATAACTCTCACATCCACTTAACCAAAAAACGACACTGTTGAGGCACAGGTCTCTGAGGAGTGAGAGAAACATGCGTATTTCGAGTAACAATTCCTAGTGTTCGATGTCCGGGTTGCCGACTAATAGGGTTTCAACAGATTCATCACTACCTCCAAACCTCAATTTCTACGACCCAACCTCAATTTCCAACCAGTTAAGAGCAAAATGAATTTGGCATACATTTCAAATCAAGGTTCCTTTCTGAACACTGGCAACAATATCTATGGATTTCTAAACCCGATCCGCTAAAAAATTAAAAAAAAAAACTACAAAAATACATCAAATCCATCCAACAAGCAAAAATCCGACGGGAACTGGAGAACCGAGCATCAACTCCCCAACAATGCTAGATTCAGATGAAGTAAAATCCCGGTAACTACCATGCGACGGTCCAAAAGATTCCGATCTAAAAAAGCGCAATGACGAGCGAATCTGGGAAATGGCGAACCAACCGGACCGTGAGGGGCCGATCACGGAGAATCCGCCGGAGGAAGAAAATGAAAATGGAATGCAAAGAAGGAGAAGAAGGAAGAAGACCTACCGGTGAGGGTCGTCAGAAAGAGAAGAGAAGAGAAGAGGTGCCTTCTTCGGCCGTCGGGTTTACAGATTTGGATCTCGGGAATAATTTTTTTTTATGTCAAATGTTTAACTGTCGTTGATTCCACGGCCTATATCGGCAGCAGCTAAATTTTTGTTTTTTTATTGGGACAAACCCAAAAAAAATTCATGTGTTTTATTTACACCAAAAAAAATTTCTACTTAAAATTCATCATAAAAAATATCAACTATTAATTTTAAACAAAAAATGTCATTAACTATATAAATTTTTTAAAAATAATTTTTCACTTTAAATTTGTTATAAAAAATCATCAATTATTAATTTTAATAAAAAAAACTTTATTTATTAAAATATAAAAAGTGTATATTAATATTAATAGATTATAAATTGAGTATATTTTATTGGTTATAAATATTATATTTAGAATTTTATTATATATTATTATTATAGAGATTGCAAATTATCATTTTAATTTTTTTACAGATTTATAAAATAATTTTAATAAAAAAATCATCAACTATTTTAAAATTTTAAAATACATTCTATTTTAAATATACAAACCTATAACCAATAAAATGTATTCAATTTACAACCTATCAAATAGTAACATATAAGAAAATTTTAAATTTCATATTTACAACCAATAAAATATAATAAATTTTAAATGTAACATTTGTATACAAATTTATTATATAAAGATTGATATTTATAAATATTTATATAAATTTTAAATATTATGATATAATAAATTTACATAAATATTATGTTTTATTGTGATTTTTAGAATTATATAATTTATATATGTTTTTTATTTAAATTTTTATAATAAATTTTAAAACAAATATTTTGTAGATAGATGATTAATTTTTTTATAAAAATTAATAATTGATAATTTTTTTATAACAAATTTAAAGTGAAAGATTTTTAAAAAAAATTTATATAGTTAATGATTTTTTTGTTCAAAATTAATAGTTGATGATTTTTTATGATGAATTTTAAGTAGAAGATTTTGTTAGGGAAAGTAGAAAACTTGGAGATTTTTTTTTAGTTTTTGCCTTTTTTATTCAGTAATTTAATTTACATAATTCTGGCGTCGTTATTTTTTTTATTTCATGAATTCCTATTATTGTTTAATTACCTTCTTAATTTTCTGATTATTTTACGTATAAATGGTCTTTTCCTCATGAAGTGAGCCAAATAAAATTACAGATTTACCCCTTTTTTGAATGTAATTCGGCTTAATCGAGCCTGGATTTGCGAGACACATTAATATAATTGGGCCGAATATAATTGGGCTTAATCGACACATTTTGCTGTTGTCACTAAAAGACAGATTTACCCCTTTTTCCTTGGATGAGATGAAGACGAGAGTTGGTGACTACTCCTTTTTCCTTGGAGTATTTCTATTATTAACCGAATAACCGAACCAAACCGAATGGAATAAGACATAACTGTACCCAAACCGAATCTGACAGTAAAATCGAATGGTTATGATTTCTTTAAATTCGAAAAATCCGAAACCGAACCGAACCGAATAAAAAAAAATCGAAAAAACCGATAATTTCTTTTAAAAAATAAAATTTTTACTGAAACCGAACCGAACCAAATCAAATTTTATATAAAAACCGAATGATTATAGTTTTTCTATAATCGAAATAATCGAACCCGAATATAATCAAACCGATCCGAAACCCAAAATAGCCACCCTTATATTAGGTCTATTGGGATATCCCAAATTTTCGGTTATCTAAATTCGCATTCGATACGATTCATAGAGCCGTATACTAAGCCTGACTGACGCATACGGGGTCGACTGGTTGCACCGCCGCCACCCGCAAACGGAGCGGTTGCGATTTCTGGCGATTGCGGGCGATTGAAAAACTGACTGATTGAACCGCAACCAACCACAACCGCAACCAAACTTGTGTTTTCTAATCGCAACTTTTAACTTGCGTTTTGGTAGCGGTTTCCAGCGTTTTGACAAAAAAACTAAAATATTTTTATTAGAAATTATATAAAACCTTAATATATATATTGGTGATGATTTTGTTCAGTGTTATGATTTGATATTATTTTTTAGTATTATATTTTAATAAAAAAAATACAATAGTATAATTTTTAGATTTAATAATGATTATTTTTAATAATTTTTATAATAAAATTATTTTTTTTCTCAAAATAAATTAAATTGATAATATTTCTATTTTAAATTTATTATTTAATTATTATAAATTTAGTAAATAATTTTTATCAAATGATACGAAAAATTTAATTAAAATTATTATAAAAATTATTTTTAAATAAAATTTTTTTTGACAATTTATATCAAAACGCAACTACAACCGTAATGAACCATTCACTTTTAACTGTAACCACCTGCAATCGCTACCAACAGCAACTTCTCAACCAGTCAGTACTAATCATTTATAATCGCTATCAAACGTTCTGAAAACGCTGTCACCCGCAACCGCAACCGCTGCGATATAACCAATCGGACCCTACATATAACTAGGCGAACTGTAAAGTGGAGATTACAGAAAAAGGCTAATACAAAATATAATTCAAGATTTCAATAGTCATATCGACACCCTCGATTTTTTTTTTGTGGAGATTCTCATGTGTGTATATTTATCTAACTTCTCTTACATTAACCCGAAGCGGGAACTGCGTGGAATTTAATGTGATCCGATTTTATATTTTTATATAAGAGCAAAACCCAACAATGTTCTCAACAGCGAGAATCAGAATGTTACACCAAAATTTGACCCTTTTTTTTTAACCTCTTCTTGCTTTCTTTGGAATTTAATTCAATGGGTTTCAATATAGAGACAGAGACAGATCAAATTAAAACGAGAATAATGATCGATCATTCCACATTGGTCATTCTTCGTCTGAGTAATCGAACTTTACCGAATGTGACTGCAGATCGATCTGCCCTCCCCTGTAGCTTCCCCGCTTCTTCTTCGTCTTCTCGTGCCGGAAACCCCTTCAAAACAATGAACAAAATCTCGTAAAGAAGTCGTAGAGAATAATACGCCGGGACCATTACAACATTATGCTGTTTGCGGGTTATATATAACATGCTCTTCCCTTGCATAAAACTGACCAACGGCCTTAATCATATGGTTATGTGACACTAAAACTAGACTCATACACTCAGCTCTTGTCTGGCTCAGCTTATAAAGAATATGGTTTGTTCGGACAGTTGCCAAAATAGGAAAATTGTTTTATTTTATGTCAAAAGGCTTAGGAGCTTACTTTCCCCTGACTTGTCCGAGAACCTCTTGGGCTTTGGCACCATAGCCGGAATCTGCACCATCCTGCAAGAACACAACAGACAAAAGAACCAACTTCAATGGGGGATTGCTAAGAAAACGGAAGATCTCCAACAAAAAACTTAATGGGAATGATCAGATACCTTTGCCCAATAGGAGTTGTCTTTAAGCCTCTCGTCGATGAATTCAACTTCTTCAACATTCACTCTCTGGAACGGTTTCTTTGGCTGCAAATTGTACAGGTATTTCAGAACAAGATCTATACTTGGGTTTAGTTTTACTTGGGAACGGTTTCGTTGGCTGCAACTTCTTCATCGTACATTTATTACAGGAGGAGCAATTACCTCTAATGAGCCATTGATCTGCTTCTTTCCTGACTTCTGATTTGCTGATTTTGCTCCGGAATTTTCAACATTCCCATTTTCCGGAACGTCAGGCTGTTTTGCGGGTGTTTTCTGAACACTGTTGACGTCTATGTTATCATCCTTCTTCCTACGTTTCGATTCGTCATCTTCCTTATCATCCCTTGTTAGCTCATTTTCTTCTTCCTTCTCTGGTCTTTTCCTTTTCTTGGAAACCTTCTCCGCCTCATTCTCTGCATGAGTTTTATCATCATCTAGAGATTCTGAGACTCCAGATTTCGACTTCTTCTTCGTCTTCCTTTTATTTTTCTGTCCCTCTCCCATCTCAACATCAGTCTCTTTCTTGTTCTCGGATGATCCATCTTTGACCATCTCCTCAGTTACCTCAGATTTCGATTCCTTCTTTTTAAATTTTTTGTCTTTTTCTCCTTTCTCTGCATCTTCATGTGTATCTTTTGATTCTTCAGCAGTGCTAGAGTCACAGTTCGTTGGTTCTTCTACCTTGACATCAGTTTCTTTCTTGTTCTTAGATGACCCACCTTTGTTCTTCCCCTGAATTACGTCTGACTTCGGTTCCTTCTTTTTCTTCTTTTTTTCCTTTTTTCCTTTGGCGTGATCATCTGAGGAATTTTCCACTTCCTTTTTGGCATGAGTCTGTATGTCTGGGAAAACATTAAACGCAGTTTGAGACATGACTTTAATGAATACATCAGAATAAACGAGCGATTAATTGCCCTATATGATGAATTTTATCCATACCTTCAGTCTTCTGTTTGATTGAATCCCCAGCTTCATGCTCCCTGCAAAAACAGAGAATGAGAAAAGGGATTCAGAAAGCGCAACATGAGAACCAGAACACTGGCATAATAAATTTTCAGGAAAAAAGAGAGAAGCGATTCATCGTCTAAGCCATCATACAAAATTCACCGAAAATTTATGATATGATCTGCTAATATGACCATTACAATAGCATGGACGAAATCGGACCAGAAATCTCAGAGTGACTGATGCATGATGAATTTCGTAGCCAGAGCAATGACAAACGACTTGACAAAATACGAACTAGCGGTAATTTTAGCATGAACAATATCCTAATCAGAAACACGGAATAGCATATACCCAAAATGGAGACAGGCACAATAGCACAACAAGAACACCTTCCGCGCGCCAAGTTACTAGAATCACACCACAAGGCAGCAAGCACACTTTACATAAGGAGGGTGAGGGATACAAAATAGAAAATGGTTTCTCAACTGACCTCTTCTTCAGATACTCGAGGTAAATTTCCTCTAGATCTGGTAAACTACTGTCCAAATCCTGTTTCTGCGACAGCATAAGACAAAAGGGAGATGCGTGTAAGAACTCTTGCTTTGCTAACGAAGGAACCTTCCTCAATTGACGTCTCTCAAATCAATCATCAACCATCGTTGATTTCAACACCTAGGTTAATGTAAAACCTTACATAATAGCTGCACTACATACACACAGATAGCATCGATTCAAAGGAACTTGTGAGACTAAACAGTTTCCCGACCTAATAAGAGCCCATCTCGAACAACTCTTGGACCAATGCATCGAAAGAACAGATGGGAACCGATGCACCGATAGGCGAAACTTTCACTCCAGTGCATTCGTGGGAATCAGACCGAAAGTAAAGTTAGTAAACGTACAAACCTCAATTTCAGCTTCGGAGAGGAATTTCTTCAAGCATTTGGAAAACCCGCATCGGTCGAGGTGCTGAGCAATCGAACGGAGAAGAATAACCTTCTGATCAGGTTTCAAATTGAGGGATGTGCTCTCTTCCTCACCAGCTTCCTTATTCCCCATATCAGGTGTCGATAGCAAAACTTGACGAGGCTTCAGAGCAAGAAGGGCAGCGTTAAAGGTCTTCTTCGAGGAATGCTCAGCTGCTAGGGTCTCGGCTCCGATTTGAGCTCGAAGAAAATTGCTTGGAAACCCGAGGCAAATAAATCCGTCGAAGAACAAGGGTTTAAGGAGTATTAGGGTTTGCCCTGATGTGCAACTAAATAAAACCCGACCCGATTTCTTAAGGCAGACCCGACCCAATGAAATAAATATGGGTATGGGTCATATACATACACCATACGATACTATAATTTGTTTTTGGGTTTCGAATTTTCTTATTCGTCATTGATCAAAACCCAAGACTGAGCCCTACCAATAATGTATGGGCTGGATTCATAATAATGAATATATTTTTCTAATTAATTATGTTGGTTATAATTTTTTTATATCGAAAATTACTTTATGTATCCATATCCTTTGTATATATACGTCATCATATTTATATATATAGACTCATATATATATATATATCCATCTTATTTATTTGACAATTAAAGAATATCTATCAATCTTTTTTCTTTTATATATTTTTCAAAAAAGGAAAAATTCAAAAATAATACATAAACTTCTCAATTTTCACAAAATAAAATCTAAATTCTATTTTTTATCAAATAAAACTTTAACTTCATTTTTCAATCAAAAATAAATTTAAACTTTATAATTTTTATCGTTTTTAAATCTATTACTGATATGTGAATGATGATATATCAAATATGATTAAAATATTGACTTGCCATGTAGACGGTAGAATGTGGGAATGCTACATCAGATTTAAAAATGATAAAAAAAAATTATAATATTCGAATTTATTTTTTATTAAAAATTAAAATTAAGGTTTTATTTGATGAGAAAGAATTTTTTATTTTATTTTGATATTTAAAAAAAAAAAAGGAGAAGCAAACAGTTTCTGATCATGGCAACAGACCACTGACTAGTGACTGCTGATGATTTCGATGCCCTCACATGTGACCGAATCAGCTGTGATCTTTTTTTTAGATATGTATTATATTATAACAAGTGACGAGCAATATTTATTACATCATTAAATGCGATTATAATTTATTTATATATATATATATATTAAATTATTTAAAAAAAATCGATATCATACATCAGATTCGGACCCAATTAAAAAGAATATCCTCTCCCCGTTCCCCCCGCCTAACTCCTTCTAAGACATTGTATGTGTCCATCAAACCTTGTAATTAACGACCTCAATTCTGCAATAACAAAATACAAACGAATTATGGGTTATGGCCTTTTAATAATACATTTTTATGGATATATCATTATGAAATCCTTAAATAATTGCACTGCCTTGCAAAAATAATGGGACCATAAATCTTATTACCAGGTTTATATTTTTATAACCTCGATTTTTAACTATTATAATTACTATTAATTCGAAAGAAAATGGAGATTTGTTTAAAAATGTATGGTAGATAAACTACCCTCCTACACATTGCATATAAGAGGAAAAGTTTACATTTTTTTTATAATTCGAAATTTTTTATAATTCAAAAGTTTATTATATTTTCGATTCAATTACATTTCCAAAAAAAAACCCGAGAAATATAGATGAATATTCCTCCTTAAATGGAGATTCAAATTCGCATTGAGAAACAAAATTTACCTCATTTTTTACCAATTAAACCATCCAATATTACACAAATAAAACGCACTTTGCTTCAAAAGAGAAAAGTACAAATACTAACTAAAAAAATTAAATAAATCATAAGATTAACCATAATGACAATGGTTGCAAACCATGCATGAAAATTATAAGGGTCCACAGTAAACGAATTAACATTTATTTGAACCGACTTTAAGGACCCCACAAATAATAAAACAAAAACAAATGTTAAAAGTACATCAGAGATAATAACCCGGAAAAGGGTTGCAAACCATGCCGGTTTTTACGGCAGAGATCATGGCCGCACTAAACCAGAACCGGTACAAGAGGTAAACCGGTATACATCATTAGCGATTTTGCCATGAGAGTTAAGAAATCAAGGAACAGTTTCAGAAATTTCAGTGATACAGAACCAGACGACGATCGCAAGAAGAACAGATATATTTCCTCTTGATCCTGAAACAGAGGGGAACGAGACAGAACATCCATTTGCTCTCGACGTCGAGTGCATGCACTTTACCGCCGCAGTACGGACACGATCCTGGAGCTTGTTGTCTTCCCAGTTCTGTCTGTTCTTCATCGCACAAGCAGAGCAGACACATTGTGTTCCCTGTGATCTGAATTTTTTTTTTACCAAGAAAAATCCCGTTTCGATTTTTTTTTTCTCCCGGGAAGTTGCTATTGATTCTTTCGCGGGTTCTCTTTCAAAGTTTCTCTTTGGACGGAAGGAGGCGATGAGAAAATTCTCGCGTGGGCCGGGCTTGAAGGTATTTTCCAGGAAAATCGCAGTTTTTTCTCTTTCTGACTGTTCTCCTTCAGAGTCTTCCCTTCCGAAGCTCGGGTTTCTCTTTGGTCAATGAGAAAATTCTCCGGGGGGGCTGCGGATCTGGTTTGGTTGCTGAGAAAATTTTCTGTGCCTCGGAAAGCGATGAGAGAAAATGCGGTGAAGAGGGTATTTATAGACGACGACGACGCAAGTAGGCGGCGTCGTTTCTGAGGTTTTACTTTTAAGTTTTAACCTCCTTTTTTTTACTATTTACCGTTTCTGACTCGATTGTAAGTCAAACACGGTCAAAAATCTCATGTTTCAAAAAGACAAAATAGATAAATACGAGGAAAAGAGTATTCTGGATTTTGTAAAAAAAAAAGAGTATTCTGGAATATTCTTTGATTAAGATTTTAACATAACCTTTGATTAAGATTTAATCAAATCCAATAATCCAAGAGACGGAAAAAGTTATTTCCCAAACTCATTTGTTAATTTTTTTTCGTGTTTTAAGTTATAACTATAATATATTTTGAAAACGAAATTGAATTGAACATTCACATAAAATTAAGACCAGAATAAATGAAAATAATTGAAATTTAACCGTGATTAAGATTTTTATTTGATTTAACGAGAATTAAGGAAATGCGTCGAAATATAAATGTTTACCATAAAGAGAATTAAAACAAAAAATTCCAAATTTGCCTAACAACCAAAACAAACTTTCAGCGACGGTTTCTGTCATGTAATATTATGATGTGTCTCCTCTGCGTCAGCGTTTGCGTTGATTTTCACATATATCAGCTGATACACACATAAGCATTAAGCACTGTACATATTTAAATAATTAAAAAAAAAACAAAGATTGCATTATAAACGATACACGAAATCGATTCAAGAGAATATCCACAGCCAAAATTGAATCATGTACTTCGGGAAATTCTCGTCTGACGGCATAATAAAAAAATTATATTTATTTTTATTCGCTTAAAACATTTAAATCGTGTATAAATCTACCCAAAGAAAAATATTTGGTTTCAATAAAATATCGGACCAGTTATTTCATCGTCACGCCCACGCGCACGATGTTATAAAAGGAAAATCAGAGTCTGTTGCAAAAATACACGAAGAAAAAGTAATGCAAAAGGCAGATGGTAAAGCAAATTGGAGCAGGTGATTCCTGACCGTCGGATCAGCATCTGCTCTGAATCTGGTAAAAATCGCACTGGGCCCACTTGATGACGATTGACGGTCCAGATGACTTTGGACGTATTATTCACGAGCCCACAGACTCCGGCCCAAGGGTTAAGGCATGGCCAGGGGGGTTTGTTTGTCTTCGTGTGGCATATATCTATTTTTTTAGACTAACCAGATTGTAATTAATGTGTATATATATATTTTTATATATATCAAATTTATAGGCCCAAAAATTATTCTAAAATAATTCCAATAATACATAAATATATCATATTTTATGATTCTGATACAAAGATTTTTAGTTGCAAAGGTCTGATAACGAACAAAGCTACAAAAATGCCATGATTTTTATTTAAAATTTCAAAATTAGTTTGCTTTTTAGATAAATCATTCTCCTTCCTCTCTTTTATCTGAAAAATGTTCTGAGACTAAACTAACTAATTGTAATACATACATATATATATATGGGCGCAATTCATATGATTCAGATTAACAACTAGTGAAACTGATTACAAAAACATATATATATTATATTGCAAAATGAAAAGTTGCAGTTCACAAAACCATAGATCGAATATATTAAAAAAAACCACCTTAGACATTGGAAATTAAAACCATATTGGAAACTTGGACTGTGCTGGTAAGACATGTACCCATGTAACCATCGCCCCCGTGTAGATTGTCAACTATACACCAAAAAACCATCCTAATTACACCCGTATCCTTTTCAGTAACCCTGTCCGGAAAACTTCCCTCACTGTAGGCCCATATCATTAAGGGAACTTAGTAAAATTTCACGCAATTTAATAAAAATAGATCCTAAATGAACATGTAAGTAACACATATTTGAATGTGAAACTAATTAAGGAAGGAATGATTGTCGGCTATGAATTCTGCGAAGACGGTCAGTTTTTTTCGATAATTATCTAGTTTATTTTATCGAAAAAGATATATTTTGGATAAATTTTTAAAAAAATAAAAAATGTAGAATTCAACCGTAGAATTCAACATTAGCTTGAGTTCATCCAAGTCGTTTCTAGTTATTGTCAGGTTTTGTCAAACCGTGTTATATCAAGTTTTTGTTTGAGTTATATCGAATCAAATTGAAAAAAAACACTTGGTTTCTATATGTTCATGTATCCATTTTTAGATGAGAAATGTGGGTCGATGGTATATAGTTTTCATATGAATAATACGTCCAAATGGGGTACTTACTTGTCAACTGCCAAGGGAGTAGCTGATTAGTGTGATTGATTGTTCAAGCAAAGCCGGGTTCCTGGCTGTTATGTGAAGAAGATGATAGCTTCCGTTTTAGGATCTCATTCTCTTTCCGCAGTTTCATTACCTTCACCTTCAGTGTCTCCACCTGTCGGGCTGATGTCATATCCCGTCGCTGTTCTACAAACGTCGTTTTGCTAATAAGCACTGACAAAAAAAACAAGAATGTTGCAAGCAAACACGGTTTGGTTAGTTCCCAAGTGACAACATCTATGAGGAGATTCGGCAATTTGGAGTAGCATAACACTTGAAGAATCTGACTTTAGAAGTTAGTTCAATGGTTTTGTTTTCAAATGAATCCAAGACCAAACTCGACCAAGAGGTTATTCTACACGACTCGAGTTGTGTAGCATTTGGATATTGTCCAAATGGACAAAAGAATCAGCCATTGTTTTATGTACAAACGCTTTCTTCTATCCAATCAATGGAACCTGTGAATCAGTGGTTAAGCGTTAAAAGAAAGAAGCTCTTACACTCCTTTTGCAGATCCTGCAGCCTGTTAGTGATATCCTTTCTCTCTTCTTGTTCCACTAGCAGACAATCCTTCAAATCCTGAATCTCGAGTTGATCTGTCAAAGTATTGCCATTACGGAACATATGCATACTCTTTAAACGTAAAAACAGGCTCAGAGTATTATACAACGGAAAGTTAAGGATATCTTAGTCTTACACTTGGATTCCACATCAGAATAAACTTGATCCAGCCTCTTGGACAAAGATTGAATATGCTTTTTGTGCGATGTCAAATCTTGTCGAAGTCTATCAACTACCATCTCGTTTGTTGCCTTTTCAAGTAAAAGGCTTCTGCACGTGACATGGATCGTTTGTTACCTGAGAGGTCACAGATATTTCAATGTGAAATTCGTACTTGAGGTCGAATCTATACCTGATTTTGTTTTCTAACTTTTCAACCTTGCTTGCATGATTTAGCTTGAGCGATTCCAGAGAATTCCAATGGCCCTGTCACAACTTCGAGTCTTTCACGGCATGGCAAAAATATCAAGGAAGAAAGAAGTGACAGAACAAACAGCGTCTTCGACCATGCCGATGACAATCATGACATCTACAGCTATATGAGTGGAATATCGAAACAAGAAATTGTCCATGGGACCCCAATGACAGAGAAAGGAAAAATATTTATGTGAAAACATAAAACTCACATGTTCTTTGGTTTTATTTTCATCATTCACTCTCTTCAGTTCCTCTTTCAAGCCGTGGCACTTGGTTCGGTGCTCAAACTACATAGTGCCAGAAAACAAGGGTCTCGGGTTTCGTCAAGTAAAGATCATCAGATCTTCTGCATGTCTTTTCAATCAATTTTATAACATGAGTTTAGACAAGAAACTCAGGGTTCCAGCGGAAAGACCTGATCAGCAACATTGTTCAGAGATTCTGTATATAGTTTCTTCAGCCTTTCATTCTCTGCAAGTAACTCACTCAATCCAAGCAATCAGGTACCTCTAAGCAGTTTGATTAGCAATGAAATGAACGCAAACAATGAGTCATTGTATAGAAGCCAAACACCACCTTGTTTTAGGCTCTTATTAGTAATCTCAAGAGCCTCTCTTGCTGTGGCTTCGACGTTGCTATTCGACCTTAAAACCTCAATCTCCTTCATCCCACTTTTGAAATCCTGTGAAACTCTTGCATCAGTTTGATTGAAAAGCAATATTCAGATATACAATTGTTCTGAGCGACAGCGATCCGACTCTGTGTATGAAGTCAGCTCATGCTTGCTTCACAAGAAACTCACAAACTTCAAAATATATTCGTTCAGCCAGATCGTACTCAGAAAAGAACAGCAAAATTGACTCAGTCATTCACGAGAAATTCACGTAGGGATAAACAATTGAGCCTGTTTCCCGTGAAAAATCGTATCATATGCAAAGGCAGTTCACAGTTTCCAAATTTATCAATAAAATTGGGGGAAAATCTACCACGAAACAAGTTCGAGCAAACTCGCGTCCGCTTGCTTTCCCGGTACGTTATTCCTGTCACCAGGATTTTCCCTTCGTTTCTCGGGAAACACACAGAGTAGATGGAACATCCAGAGACGATGAAGAGATTATAGCAGAGTATCAAGCTTACTGACCTCGTAGATCTGATCGAAGTTCGAGAGAAGCGATTCCATTTGCTGATCGCTAGTGGCCGCCATGTTTTCGATTTGCTTTCCTTTTTCATGAACGCGTTTCGTGAGAATGATCTTGACGGAAATATAACCGTTGAGGGCCGGCGAGAGAAAAGAACAAAGAAAAAAAAAAGACGAAAGGGCGTGTTTGGCTTGAGAAGCTTAGAGTGATTAGCCAAACAGAAGCTTCACTTCGTAAACTACAGAATTTAGGAGGAGAAAAACTCTAGTTTAGGGACTTGGATTAAATAAATTTGAATGTATTTTCACATTAAGAAAAATTAAGCTTAATTTAGTATGTTATGATTATGCGATTGCCAAACACGGCCTTACCTTCTGTGCCCTCGGCAACCGAAGAGCAGAAGAACGAAAAGACACATTTTCTTTACGTAGCTCTCTGATCTTCTCTCTTCGCTGCTTTCCCGAAACCCTAATCTCTCACAGATTACACATCGATCACCGCAAGGCTGGCCTGAAGAGGTCCCCTGATCTCCCTCTCCTGTTCCGGGACGGTGGAACATTCAAATTTCTCCAGGTTAGTGGTCTCCCATTCGGTTCTGTGCGATTCGTACTGTTCGTTGGTGTCGCTGTTAGGAGACTGATGGATCACCACTTATATATGGATTGATCGATTACTCGGTGCAGAGACGTGATGGATACTGAGTCTGGGTACTGTTGTACTGTTCCGAACTCAACAGGACTCGGTTTCTCCGGAGGATGATTGAAGCTGATAGGCCGGATTGGATCTCTTTTACTGGGTAATTGTCACGCGTGTTTTCCGCATTACTAGCCAGGAATCGAATTTGGTGAAGTTATGAAGAACTGATTTTTGTTTATTAAATTCACTAGTCCAGGTATCCAGAGTCCTGATTAAGATCAGTTTATTGTTAAACTATTTGTTTTCCCCAATAATTTTGAACCCCAGTAAGAATGAATGAGGTAGACAAACACGGAAGTCGTCACAAAGGTGTAGACAAGTGTGCCCCTTTTCACAGGCTCGGTTAAGTTATCTTCTCTGATAATGTCACTGATTAGGAATTCTGTTGTTTTTCTATTGGTAGGGCTGTGTTTATGCACAAAGCATTCCATGTTACGTTGTCGGTATCTTTGCCTGGCACTTCTTTGGAAAATGTGGGCTCATGATGTCTGTATAATAGATCTGGCTTAGAGATTGAAACGAATGTATAATAGATCTAGCTCAAAATTTTCTTTTGATCTTACCAATTAGGATTTTTTTTATTGTGTATTTTGATTAATCCTGTGATGTTTGTGCATTTTGGAGCAAGAACAGTTGATGCAGCTGAATCTCTTCTTCAGGCCATTGGTCCTGCCATTGATTTTGGAATTCCATTTGCCGCTGTTTTGGGAAACCATGATCAGTAATCCACTTTGACCTGTGAATAAATCTTGTTGGGAAACATCAGAGTCAATTTGAAACAAGAAGCCGAAAAAAAAAGGTAGTTATCTCGTTCATCACATCGTATTGGACTTCTGCTTTGAAAATTGGGGATTTTATGTGAAAAATGTGACTGAACGCGTGGGGTATACCTAATGACACACGTTGCACATGATACATCTAGCTATGGGGATACAAACGTATTTGACGGGGAATTGGTAAGATTACGTTAAGTGTTATGAAAGGCCAAATCTTTTGATCGTAAGAGATACGTCGTTGAAGCAAACAGTGGACCGTGTCTGTCCTTTCATTGGGTCGGTTTCTTTGGATTGTATTCGGTGCCCTTAGGTACTAGGTGGGGTCTAATGGGACCAGATGTTGAACACTCTGTTGTGATATCTGTTAGTGGTGAATGGTTTATTTTGCTTGGCTTGTACAAGTTGTTTAGTTCATAAGATCCAGTTTCAAGGAACTACGGAGTTCGAGGAATTCTTTTAGATTAACTTTCAATGTTGATGTTTGATACAAACGGGGTTAGATATCATAGATAATTGACTGATTCAGTCTTGATTCTTGAGACAATTGTCGATCATCTTCATCTAACATAAGACTGAAATTGGGTTGGTCCTTTATATCCTCAAGTATTTGTCTATGTGGTTTTGATTATTGCAGGAAATTATGGATTTTCTGAATGTTTCTAATGCATTCTACATTTGTGTTAAGTGGTAAAACACATTCTGCAGAAATCATGTTCCTTTTCTCTTTTGGATTTGGAGGGATTCATCATGAGTTTTAAACTGACAGGTCACATATCACATGGAGGCTGTGGCGAACAATTTCCACCGATGTGGGAGTGAGCACCAGATTAAAAAAAACGTGCGTCTGAAAGCTTCAGCTCTGGTTGTTCTCTCCTCTGTCCCCCCAGGCCACGTCATATCACATTGTGACACACGCCCACACTCTCTCCATGTGTTATATATATATGTATATATGCCCAAGTAGATAGATAGAGAGAGACATCCACTCTTAATTCTTACCGGAGAAAGAAACATCAGTTGAAGCATCCGAAATGGAGAATATCGACGAAGAATGCAATAATTACTGGGAATCTACAACCTTCTTCCAAAACGAAGAACTTGAATACAACAGGTTCTTCTTCTTGTTCTTTTTTCCCTTTTCTATGATTTTCTCTAGACGAAGCAGAGAGATTACCGATTGCTTTGTCTTCGTGGGGGATTGAAGCTGGCCACTGGATGAGGCGGTCTACGGATCGTACGACTCGAGTTCTCCGGAAGGAGCAGCGTCTTCTCCGGCATCTAAGAATATTCTGTCCGAGAGGAACAGAAGACGTAAACTCAATCAGAGGCTCTTCGCTCTCCGATCAGTTGTGCCTAACATCACTAAGGTTTCTTACCAAATCCTAATATTTTTTCCATCTTCATGGAGAATACGCATCAGAGTAGCAACTCCAATTTTCAGAAACTTGTTCCATTTCTCGAAGTATTTGTATTCAAATGTATTTTCTTTCTTCATCCCTCTATCAAGGAATCTTACCAATGCTTTCGCTTTTATGAAATGTGTTTCCGTAGATGGACAAAGCATCGATAATCAGAGATGCTATTGATTATATACAAGAGCTGCAGAAAGAAGAGAATAGACTCGAAATCGAGGTCAGGGAACTCGAATCTGTACGATCGAAGAGGAGCCTGACATTCGACAAGGATTTCGATGGCGAATTACTGGTTCCAGTTACAGCCGAGATGAACAAGCAGGTCGATCATGGTTCTACTCGTTCGAGATCCTCCTCTCCCATTGAAGTCCTCGAAGTGAGTCCCATTTCCTATGTACTCTCTAGATGTTTCCCATTTTTGTTAAAATCACATAAAAAGTGGAATCTGGTTCAGTTTTTTTTCGGTGTTCTCTGCTTTGAGAGAACATTCGATTTAACGTTTGGGTTGGATTGGATACGGTATATGACGAGAAGTCGAAGGTGGCGTTCATGGGGGAAAGTACAGTTGTAGTGAGCATAACATGCAACAAGAGGGCAGACACAATGGTGAGACTCAGTGAGGTTTTCGAGACATTGAAGCTCAAGATCCTTGCGGTCAATATCGTGTCTTTTTCTGGCATCCTTTTCCACACCGCCTTTGTCGAGGTCAGTCCTCGTCCGTCCCCTTATATATTTTCGAAGACAAAAAATCAGTTTAATATTCTTTTTAAAGATCTCGGATAACATCCAAAAGATGTCTCTTCATTTGTTTTATGTGGTAATTCATCTTTAGTTTGATATGTTTTGGGTATTGAATTTGAATATTTTTGGGATAGTTATATGGACCTCCTTAAAATAAATCTTGAAACTTCACTTATTATGACATTAACGATGTGGTTCACTTTTAAAAGAGACATCGTGTGGTCTTTTATTGGAATTTGTGGTTGGCATGGAAGATGATTCCTTTTTTTTCCTTCTGTCAATTACTTTGAGGGCTTAATTTTTTTTGGCTAGAATATGGAATAATTGTATATTTATTGGTAGTAGAGTATTATATTCGGTTGGGCACGGTCAAATTATTTAATTTAATAAGATTTGTCTTATTCTTGACATGGACGCGATGTTAACCAATCGAAAGATATATATAGATATATGTGTGTACGTGACCCACATTTATTGATTTGCTAATAAAGAAATAGATTAGATGGCTCTTTCTTCCAGATTTTGAGTAAGATTTTATAGTTTTATTAATCGAATAAATAAGAAAGATGCTCCTCTAGTCCATGTTTTTTTATTTATATTAATGGGATTTCAGTCAAAAGATTTTTTTAAAACGTGTAGAATTTGTTTGGGTGATTGTCGGAGTTTTAATCATACGAGTAGAATATCTGATAAAATCTCGAAAGGATGGGATATCAGATTCTTCTGTCCGAGCATTGATTGGTCCATCTATGAATTAAAAAAATATAATCATTGAGGTAAGCACTAAGCAGAATCTGTTTGTGTATATATGGGCATTTCTCAGCCGCTCGAAGTGAATGCAGTGTTTGTTAATCATAAAATATTTGATCTCACAATGGTCTCTAGAGGAATTATATTTAAAAATCTTTCAGATAAGATTTTGATACATGCAGTTGCTGAAGAGATCGTGGGTTGGCTTTGAATAGATTGAAATGACACTTATGTTATGCGATTTAAGTGATATTGTGAATTTTTACGAAAAATTGATATTATCATGAATCGTAGTATTTGTATAAAATCTTCTGGATGAATTTTCAGGCGGATGAAAGGGAAAAGGGGCGCTTGCGGGTGAAAATAGACAGTGCAATTGCGGCTTTTAATGACTCCCAAAGACACATATTGCAGTAATTTTATGTAAAGAATATTTATAGATTCTGACATATAATAACGCACTGAATTTGATCTCCCCATACGCCCCAAATCGACGCGTGGGACCCAATAGATTTGGTTTCGCTTTAAAGGGGAATCACAAATAACTATTTAGATTTAAAAATCAACCTAAATATTAATTGGCCAACGGATAACAACAAGGCCTAAGTTCGGGATTCAACAAGGACCAAGTTCCAACACTATGGGAGGGAGACGATGAAGACATTACAAGACCACAGAGAGACGTGTAAAAACTAATCGACACTAGATTTACTTTACACATTCACCTACATCACTGTTCTCATGTTCTTATAGTCTCATCTTCAGAAAAAAAAAAACAGCCAAGGAGTTAAAGCTTGAAATTTGTGTAACCACCACCAACATCAGAAGAAGCTCTGTGCTCCGAACCGTAGGTTTGGCCAGAGCCAGAGCCTGACCCCGACGGCATGTACGAGCTACCACTCAGTTGAGAGTACGTCGGTCTGTAGCCGGTTTCCGAGTAGCCGCTCGAAAGTGGCTCCCT